CCCACTCTCTCCCCCCCCCTCTCCCCCCCCCCCCCCCTCCCCCCCCCCCCCACCCCCCCCTCCCCCCCCCACTCCCCCCCCCCCCCCCCACTCTCCCCACGCTCTCCCCACGCTCACTCCCCACGCTCACTCCCCACGCTCCCTCCCCACGCTCTCCCCACGCTCACTCCCCACGCTCCCTCCCCACGCTCTCCCCACGCTCCCACCCGCTCCGAGCGCTGTGTGTGCGCTAAACATCGGCACTGGGGGAGACAAAGGCGGCCGGGCTTGGTGTTGTGCTGCTCCTCCCCACCACCCCCACTCCGTGCCGGTCTTCGTAGGCTTGCCCCGAGGGTCTGTCCGAGGCTACGCGGGTGACCTTTGTGTTTGGCAGAGCACGCCTTTCGGAAGGGGCTTGCCGACGGAGTGGGCTTGCCCAAGATCCCGGTGCATCCCCTGAGCTACCGCGACGCCGAGGAGCTGCTGCGGTGGGAACCGGCAACACCGACAGCACCGCTACCGCCTCCACCAACTCCACCACTACCACCACCACTACCACCACCACCTCCACCACCACCGCTACCGCCTCCACCAACTCCACCACTACCACCAGCACTACCGCTACCACCACCACCACTATCACCACCACCACCACCGATACCACTACCACTACCACCACCACCGCTACCACCACCACCGCTACCACCACCGCTACCACCGCTACCACCACCACCACTATCACCACCGCTACCACCACCACCACCACCGCTACCACCGCTACCACCACCACCACTATCACCACCGCTACCACCACCACCACCACTGCTACCACCGCTACCACCACCACCGCTACCACCACCGCTACCACCGCTACCACCACAACTACTACCACCGCTACCACCACCACCACTACCACCACCACCGCTACCACCGCCACTACCACGACCTTCGCTACCGCAGCCACCGCTACCACCACCGCCATCACCACCATCATCACTGCCATCACCACCACCACTACTGTGTGAGTCTATGTGTCTCTATGTGTCTCTGTGTGAGGCTGTGTCTCTATTTGAGTCTATGGGTCTCTATGTGTCTCTGTGTGTCTCCATGTGAGTCTATGGGTCTCCATGTGAGTCTATGGGTCTCTATGTGTCTCTGTGAGTCTATGTGTGTGTATGTGTCTCTGTGTGTCTCTGTGTGAATCTATGGGTCTCTATGTGTCTCTGTGTTAGTCTGAGTCTCTATGTGTCTCTGTGTGAGTCTATGTGTCTCTGTGTAAGTCTATGTGTCTCTGTGTGAGTCTATGTGTCTCTGTGTGTCTTTGTGTGAGTCTATGTGTCTCTGTGTGAGTCTATGTGTCTTTGTGTGAGTCTATGTGTCTCTGTGTGTCTCTATGTGTCTCTGTGTGTGTCTGTGTGTCTCTGTGTGTCTCTGTGTGAGTCCATGGGTCTCTATGTGTCTCTATGTGTCTGTGTGAGTCTATGTGTCTCTGTGTGAATCTATCTGTCTCTGTGTGAGTCTATGTGTCTATGTGTGTCTCTGTGTGTCTCTATGTGTCTCTATGTGTCTTTGTGTGAGTCTCTGTGTGAGTCTATGTGTCTCTGTGTGAGTCTATGTGTCTCTGTGTGTCTCTATGTGTCTCTGTGTGAGTCTCTGTGTGAGTCTATGCGTCTCTGTGTGAGTCTATTTGTCTCTGTGTGAGTCTATGTGTCTCTATGGGTCTCTATGTGTCTCTATGGGTCTCTATGTGTCTCTATGTGTCTCTGTGTGAGTCTATGTGTCTCTGTGTGAGTCTATGTGTCTCTATGTGTCTCTGTGTGTCTCTGTGTGAGTCTATGTGTCTCTGTGTGAGTCTATGTGTCTCTGTGTGTCTCTATGTGTCTCTGTGTGTCTCTGTGTGAGTCTCTGTGTCTCTGTGTGTCTCTATGTGTCTCTGTGTGTCTCTGTGTGAGTCTATGTGTCTCTGTGTGTCTCTATGTGTCTCTGTGTGTCTCTGTGTGAGTCAACGTGTCTCTATGTGTCTCTATGTGTCTCTGTGTGAGTCTATGTGTCTCTGTGTCTCTGTGTGAGTCTATGTGTCTCTATGTGTCTCTGTGTCTCTGTGTGAGTCTATGTGTCTCTGTGTCTATGTGTGAGTCTATGTGTCTTTGTGTGAGGCTATGGGTCTCTATGTGTCTCTGGGTCTCTGTGTGTCTCTCTGTGTCTCTGTGTGAGTCTATGTGTCTCTCTGGATCTCTGTGTGAGTCTATGTGTCTCTGTGTGAGTCTATGTGTCTCTGTGTGAGTCTATGTGTCTCTGTGTGAGTCTATGGGTCTCTATGTGTCTCTGTGTGAGTCTATGTGTCTCTGTGTGAGTCTATGGGTCTCTATGTGTCTCTGGGTCTCTGTGTGAGTCTGTGTCTCTGTGTGAGTCTATGGGTCTCTATGTGTCTCTGTGTGAGTCTATGTGTCTCTATGTGTCTCTGTGTCTCTGTGTGAGTCTCTGTGTGAGTCTATGGGTCTCTATGTGTCTCTGTGTGTCTCTATGTGTCTCTGTGTGAGTTTATGTGTCTCTATGTGTCTCTATGTGTCTCTGTGTGAGTCTGTGTGAGTCTATGTGTCTCTATGTGTCTCTGTGTGTGTCTCTATGTGTCTCTATGTGTCTCTGTGTGAGTCTATGTGTCTCTATGTGTCTCTATGTGTCTCTGTGTGAGTCTATGTGTCTCTATGTGTCTCTGTGTGAGTCTATGTGTCTCTATGTGTCTCTATGTGTCTCTGTGTGAGTCTATGTGTCTCTGTGTGTCTCTGTGTGAGTCTATGGGTCTCTATGTGTCTCTGTGTGAGTCTATGTGTCTCTGTGTGAGTCTATGTGTCTCTGTGTGTCTCTGTGTCTCTGTGTGTCTCTGTGTATCTCTGTGTGAGTCTCTGTGGTTCTGTGTGTCTCTATGTGTCTCTGTGTGAGTCTATGGGTCTCTGTGTGTCTCTGTGTCTCTGTGTGTCTCTGTGTATCTCTGTGTGAGTCTCTGTGGTTCTGTGTGTCTCTATGTGTCTCTGTGTGAGTCTATGTGTCTCTGTGTGAGTCTATGGGTCTCTATGTGTCTCTGTGTGAGTCTATGTGTCTCTGTGTGTCTCTGTGTGTCTCTGTGTATCTCTGTGTGAGTCTATGGGTCTCTATGTGTCTCTGTGAGTCTCTGTGTCTCTGTGTAAGTCTATGGGTCTCTATGTGTCTCTGTGTGTCTCTATGTGTCTCTATGGGTCTCTGTGTGTCTCTATGTGTCTCTGTGTGAGTCTATGGGTCTCTATGTGTCTCTGTGTCTCTATGGGTCTCTATGTGTCTCTATGTGTCTCTGTGTCTCTGTGTCTCTATGGGTCTCTATGTGTCTCTGTGTGAGTCTATGGGTCTTTATGTGTCTCTGGGTCTCTGTGTGAGTCTATGTGTCTCTGTGTGAGTCTATGGGTCTCTATGTGTCTCTGGGTCTCTGTGTGAGTCTATGTGTCTCTGTGTGAGTCTATGTGTCTCTGTGTGAGTCTATGTGTCTCTGTGTGAGTCTATGGGTCTCTATGTGTCTCTGTGTGAGTCTATGTGTCTCTGTGTGAGTCTATGGGTCTCTATGTGTCTCTGGGTCTCTGTGTGAGTCTCTGTGTGAGTCTATGCGTTTCTATGTGTCTCTGTGTGTCTCTATGTGTCTCTGTGTGAGTCTATGTGTCTCTATGTGTCTCTATGTGTCTCTATGTGTCTCTGTGTGAGTCTATGTGTCTCTATGTGTCTCTGTGTGAGTCTATGGGTCTCTATGTGTCTCTGTGTGAGTCTGTGTGAGTCTATGTGTCTCTATGTGTCTCTGTGTGTGTCTCTATGTGTCTCTATGTGTCTCTGTGTGAGTCTATGTGTCTCTATGTGTCTCTGTGTCTCTGTGTGAGTCTATGTGTCTCTATGTGTCTCTGTGTGAGTCTATGTGTTTCTATGTGTCTCTGTGTGAGTCTATGTGTCTCTATGTGTCTCTATGTGTCTCTGTGTGAGTCTATGTGTCTCTATGTGTCTCTGTGTGAGTCTATGGGTCTCTATGTGTCTCTGTGTGAGTCTATGTGTCTCTGTGTGAGTCTATGTGTCTCTGTGTGTCTCTGTGTCTCTGTGTGTCTCTGTGTATCTCTGTGTGAGTCTCTGTGTCTCTGTGTGTCTCTATGTGTCTCTGTGTGAGTCTATGGGTCTCTATGTGTCTCTGTGTGAGTCTATGTGTCTCTATGTGTCTCTGTGTGAGTCTATGTGTCTCTATGTGTTTCTATGTGTCTCTATGTGTCTCTGTGTGAGTCTATGTGTCTCTATGTGTCTCTGTGTGAGTCTATGGGTCTCTATGTGTCTCTGTGTGAGTCTATGTGTCTCTGTGTGTCTCTGTGTCTCTGTGTGTCTCTGTGTATCTCTGTGTGAGTCTATGGGTCTCTATGTGTCTCTGTGAGTCTCTGTGTCTCTGTGTAAGTCTATGGGTCTCTATGTGTCTCTGTGTGTCTCTATGTGTCTCTATGGGTCTCTATGTGTCTCTGTGTGTCTCTATGTGTCTCTATGGGTCTCTATGTGTCTCTGTGTGTCTCTATGTGTCTCTATGGGTCTCTATGTGTCTCTGTGTGTCTCTATGTGTCTCTATGGGTCTCTGTGTGTCTCTATGTGTCTATGTGTGTCTCTATGTGTGTCTCTATGTGTCTCTGTGTCTCTGTGTCTCTATGGGTCTCTATGTGTCTCTGTGTGAGTCTATGTGTCTCTGTGAGTCTCTGTGTCTCTGTGTGTCTCTATGTGTCTCTATGGGTCTCTATGTGTCTCTGTGTGAGTCTATGTGTCTCTGTGTGTCTCTATGTGTCTATGTGTGTCTCTATGTGTCTCTGTGTGAGTCTATGCCGCCCGTGCCCCCCCCCCCCCCAGGGACATGGGGGGCGCCCCCCCGCCGAGCGAGGCCTGGAGGGGAAGCCTCAACGTCTCCTACAACGTGGGGCCCGGCTTCCTAGCCACGCGGGCCTCCTGGTGAGGGGGGAAGGGGGGCGGGGGGGGGTGAGTGGGGGGGGTGGGGGGCTGGTGGGGGGGGGTGGGTGACCTGTTGACCCCCCCTCACCCCGCTCCCCCCCCCGTCCCCCCCTCCGAGCAGGAGGGTGAGGATGCTGGTGAGGACACAGAACCAGGTGAGGAGGATCTACAACGTGGTGGGGACCATCCACGGGGCGGTGGAGCCAGGTGATGACTCGCTCGCCCACCCACTCACTCGCTCACCCACCCACCCACTCGCCCACTCGCTCACCCACCCACTCGCTCACCCACCCACTCGCTCACCCACCCACTCGCTCACCCACCCACTCGCTCACCCACCCACTCGCTCACCCACCCACTCGCTCACCCACCCACTCGCTCACCCACCCACTCGCTCACCCACCCACTCGCTCACCCACCCACTCGCTCACCCACCCACTCGCTCACCCACCCACTCGCTCACCCACCCACTCGCTCACCCACCCACTCGCTCACCCACCCACTCGCCCACCCACCGGCTCGCCCACCCACCCACTCGCTCACCCACCCACTCGCTCACCCACCCACTCGCTCACCCACCCACTCGCCCACCCACCCACTCGCCCACCCACCCACTCGCTCACCCACCCACTCGCTCACCCACCCACTCGCTCACCCACCCACTCGCCCACCCACCGGCTCGCCCACCCACCCACTCGCTCACCCACCCACTCGCTCACCCACCCACTCGCCCACCCACCCACTCGCCCACCCACCCACTCGCTCACCCACCCACTCGCTCACCCACCCACTCGCTCACCCACCCACTCGCTCACCCACCCACTCGCCCACCCACCCGCTCGCCCACCCACCCACTCGCTCACCCACCCACTCGCTCACCCACCCACTCGCCCACCCACCCACTCGCCCACCCACCCACTCGCTCACCCACCCACTCGCTCACCCACCCACTCGCTCACCCACCCACTCGCTCACCCACCCACTCGCCCACCCACCGGCTCGCCCACCCACTCACTCGCTCGCCCACCCACTCGCTCGCCCACCCACCCACCCACTCGCCCACCCGCTCGCTCACCCACCCACCCGCTCGCTCGCCCACCCACCGACCCACCCACTCGCTCACCCACCCACCCACTCGCTCGCCCACCCGTTCACCCACCCACCCACTCGCTCACCCACCCACTCGCTCACCCATGCACTCTCCCACCCACCCACTCGCTCACCCACCCACTCACCCACCCACCCACTCACCCACTCACTCGTTCACCCACTCACCCACTCGCTCACCCACCCACCCACTCATTCATTCACCCACCCCCCCACACACTCACCCACTCGCTAACCCACTCGCTCGCCCACCCGCTCACTCACCCACTCACCCGCTCACCCGCTCACCAGCCCACCCGCTCACTCACTCACCCACTCAGTCACTCACCCGCTCACCCGCCCACCCGCTCACTCACTCACCCACTCAGTCACTCACCTGCTCACCCGCCCAGTCACCCACCCAGTCACTCACCCACTCACTCACCCACTCACTCGCTCAGTGCTTTGACCGTCTAAGTCTCACTGGTGACGGTGGGCGTGTCTCTGTCTGTCCCCCCCTCCCCCCGTTGTGTGCACAGACCGCTGGGTCATCCTGGGGGGTCACCGTGACACGTGGGTGTTTGGGGGCATCGACCCCATGACCGGGGCCGCCACCCTGCAGGAGGTCGCAAAGGTCACGGGAGCCATGCGGCGCTCGGGTGAGCCGGCGCTCCCCCCGCTCACCTGGCCAGCTCACCTGGCAAACTCACCTACTCACCGGCCCACTCACCTACTCACCACTCACCTACTCACCGGTCCACTCACCTGCTCACCGGCCCACTCACCTACTCACCGGCCCACTCACCCACTCACCGGCCCACTCACCTACTCACCGGCCCACTCACCCACTCACCGGCCCACTCACCTACTCACCGGCCCACTCACCCACTCACCGGCCCACTCACCTACTCACCGGCCCACCCACCTGTCCACTCACTGGTCAACTCACCTGTCCACTCACTGGTCAACTCACCTGTCCACTCACCTGTCCACTCACCTGCTCACTCACCTGTCCACTCACCTGCTCACTCACCTGTCCACTCACCTACTCACCTGTCCACTCACCTGTCCACTCACCTGCTCACTCACCTGCTCACTCACCTGCTCACTCACCTGTCCACTCACCTGCTCACTCACCTGCTCACTCACCTGCTCACTCACCTGCTCACTCACCTGTCCACTCACCTGCTCACTCACCTGCTCACTCACCTGCTCACTCACCTGCTCACTCACCTGTCCACTCACCTGCTCACTCACCTGTCCACTCACCTACTCACCGGCCCACTCACCTGTCCACTCACCTGCTCACCCACCTGTCCACTCACTGGTCAACTCACCTGTCCAATCACTGGTCCACTCACCTGTCCACTCACCTGTCCACTTACTAGTAAATTCACCTGTCCACTCACCTGCTCACTCACCTGTCCACTCACCTGCTCACCCACCTGCTCACTCACCTGCTCACTCACCTGTCCACTCACCTGTCCACTCACCTGTCCACTCACCTGTCCACTCACCTACTCACCTGTCCACTCACCTGCTCACTCACCTGCTCACTCACCTGCTCACTCACCTGTCCACTCACCTGTCCACTCACCTGCTCACTCACCTGTCCACTCACCTGCTCACTCACCTGTCCACTCAACTACTCACCGGCCCACTCACCTGTCCACTCACCTGTCCACTCACCTGTCCACTCACCTGCTCACTCACCTGCTCACTCACCTGTCCACTCACCTGCTCACTCACCTGCTCACTCACCTGCTCACTCACCTGTCCACTCACCTGCTCACTCACCTGTCCACTCACCTACTCACCGGCCCACTCACCTGTCCACTCACCTGCTCACTTAGCTGCTCACTCACCTGCTCACTCACCTGTCCACTCACCTGTCCACTCACCTGCTCACTCAACTGCTCACTCACCTGTCCACTCACCTGCTCGCTCACCTGTCCACTCACCGGCCCACTCACTTGCTCACTTACCTGCTCACTCACCTGTCCACTCACCTATCCACTCACCTGTCCACTCACCTGCTCACTCACCTGTCCACTCACCTGTCCACTCACCTGCTCACTCACCTGTCCACTCACCTGCTCACTCACCTGCTCACCTGTCCACTCACCTGCTCTCTCACCTGTCCACTCACCTGTGGTGAGGCTGATCCCCAGGTTGGCGCCCACGGAGGAGTCTCAAGCTGTGCAGCTGGGACGCCGAGGAGTTTGGGCTCCAGGGGTCCACCGAGTGGGTGGAGGTGAGCGGGAGGGTGAGCGGGGGGGTGAGCGGGAGGGTGAGCGTGGGGGTGGGAGGGTGAGCGGGTGGGTGAGCGGAAGGGTGAGCGGGTGGGTGAGTGGTTGCGTGGGTGAGTAAGATGACGGGTACTCACGTGGGTACTCACGTGGGTACTCACGTGAGTACCCACGTGAGTACCCACGTGGGTACCCACGTGGGTACCCACGTGGGTACTCAGGCACCCGTGTCACAGCCCCCCCCCCTCCCCCCCCCGTGCCCCCCCCCCCCCCTACCAGGACAAGGCCCAGGTGCTGCTGAGCCGTGCCGTCGCCTACATCAACGCCGACTCGGCCATCGAGGGTGAGGAGCAGGGCCCTCTCGTGTACATGTGTGTACGTGCGTCTATGTGTGTGCGTGTGTGTACGTGTGTGTGCGTGTGTGTGCGTGCGTGTACGTGCGTCTGTGTGTATGTGTGTGTGTCTTTGTGCGTCTGTGTGTATGTGTGTGTGTGTCTCTGTGCGTCTGTGTGTGTGTGTGTGTGTCTCTGTGCGTCTGTGTGTGTGTGTGCTCGCTAGAAGCATTTGCTCCAAAGAGTCTGTTAAAGCGTAATGGGGGATCTTTGTCTTTGTGTCTGAGCATGCGCGCGTGTCTCTGTGTGTGCGTCTCCGTGTGTCTCCGTGTGTGTGTCCGTGTGCATCTCCACGTGTCTCTGTGTGTGCGTCTCCGCGTGTGTCCGTTGTGTGTGTCCGCGTGTCTCTGTGTGTCCGCGTGTCTCCGCGTGTCTCTGAGTGTGTGTCCGCGTGTCTCTGTGTGTGTGTCCGCGTGTCTCTGTGTGTGTGTCCGCGTGTCTCTGTGTGTGTGTCCGCGTGTCTCTGTGTGTGTGTCCGCATGTCTCTGTGTGTGTGTCCGCGTGTCTCTGTGTGTGTGTCCGCGTGTCTCCGCGTGTCTCTGTGTGTGTGTCCGCGTGTCTCTGTGTGTCTGCGTGTCTCCGCATGTCTCTGTGTGTGTGTCCGCGTGTCTCTGTGTGTGTGTCCGCGTGCATCTCCACGTGTCTCCGTGTGTGTCTCCGCGTGTCTCTGTGTGTGTGTCCGCGTGTGTGTCCGCGTGTCTCTGTGTGTGTCCGCGTGCATCTCCACGTGTCTCCGTGTGTGTCCGCGTGTCTCTGTGTGTGCGTCTCCGCGTGTCTCCGTGTGTGTCCGCGTGTCTCCGCGTGTCTCTGTGTGTGTGTCTGCGTGTCTCTCTGTGTGCGTCTCCGCGTGTCTCCGTGTGTGTGTCCGCGTGTCTCTGTGTGTGCGTCTCCGCGTGTCTCGCTGTCTGCACCACGGCAGGCAACTTCACTCTGCGTGTCGACAGCTCGCCAATGCTCCACCGCCTCGTCTACAGCGTGGCGAAGCAGGCGAGGAACTCCACTCCCCCCCTCCTGCTCCCCTACACATCGCTCTCTCTGTGTGTGTCTGTCTGTGTGTGTGTCTGTGTGTGTGTCTGTGTGTGTCTGTGTGTGTGTGTCTCTTTGTGTGTGTGTGTTTGTGTGTGTGTGTCTGTGTGTGTGTGTCTGTGTGTGTGTGTCTGTGTGTCTGTCTGTGTGTGTGTGTCTGTGTGTGTGTGTCTGTGTCTGTGTGTGTGTGTCTGTGTGTGTGTGTCTGTGTGTCTGTCTGTGTGTGTGTCTGTGTGTGTGTCTGTGTGTGTCTGTGTGTGTCTGTGTGTGTGTCTGTGTGTGTCTGTCTGTGTGTGTGTGTGTGTCTCTTTGTGTGTGTGTGTCTGTGTGTGTGTGTCTGTGTGTGTGTCTGTGTGTGTCTGTCTGTGTGTGTCTGTGTGTCTCTTTGTGTGTGTGTGTCTGTGTGTGTGTGTCTGTGTGTCTGTGTGTGTGTGTCTGTGTGTCTGTGTGTGTGTGTCTGTGTGTGTGTCTGTGTGTGTCTGTCTGTGTGTGTCTGTGTGTCTCTTTGTGTGTGTGTGTCTGTGTGTGTGTTTGTCTGTGTGTCTGTGTGTGTGTGTCTGTGTGTCTGTGTGTGTGTGTATGTGTGTCTGTGTGTGTGTGTGTGTCTGTGTGTGTGTCTGTGTGTGTGTCTGTGTGTGTGTGTGTCTGTGTGTCTGTCTGTGTGTGTGTCTGTGTGTGTGTCTGTGTGTGTCTGTCTGTGTGTGTGACCTCCTGCCAGCGGGCGTTCGACACTTCACGTGGCCTCACGGTGCACATAGCCTGGCACAAACGTCGTGGTGACGTCAACGCCACTTAGTGGCGAATGGCGGTTGTTGTTGTTGTTGTTGTTGTCTCTGTGTCTGTGTGTGTCTGTCTGCGTGTGTGTCTGTGTGTGTGTGTCTGTGTGTGTGTCTGTGTGTGTCTGTGTGTGTGTCTGTGTGTGTGTGTCTGTGTGTGATTGAGCAGCTATTACCAAATCATCGGCATACATAACGTGGTTGAGCAATAGGGAGCCATCCCTTGACCGCACCCGGGCATCAATCAGCCTCCCATTATATCTGTACCATATGGAGATTCCCCTGGTACAGCTATTGAAGGCTTCACGAACTACGTGGTCAAAATAGATGTTAAATAATGTGGGAGCCAGAGGACATCCCTGTCGCACCCCAAGGTGTACAAGGAATGGCTCTGACTCCCGGCCACGTAGTTTTACCCGGGCCCGCTCACCATCATGAAGGTCCTTAATGATCGTGAGCAGAGGGTCAGGTACTACAAAAGCACGAAGAACGACCCAGAGCCCAGACCAGGTCAAAAAAGCAGAGATGTAGGTCTTGTTGATTTGGTAATAGCTGCTCAGTCAGAGGAGGAGTTGGAGATGCTGCTGCTGAGACTGGAGCGTGCCACTAAGAGGTGGGGTCTTACCATCAGCCCCACCAAAACTAAGCACCTGCCTGGGTATTTTGTACCATCGGACACTCCACCCCCACAACTCCCGATCGGTGATGGGGCAGTTGTGGAGAGAGTGGAGAGTTTCCCGTACCTGGGCAGTGTGCTTATGACTGGCTCCAGTTTAACAGCAGAGGTCTCACTCCGAATCAGTCGAGCGGCAATATCTTTTCATCGGTTTCGTAACGCTGTCTGGAAGCTACCTGGTCTGTCGCTCCGCACTAAGTTTCAGGTCTTCTCGGCCACGGTCATTCCCTCCCTTCTCTACGCTTGCGAAACGTGGACCCCCCTAATGGAACATCTTCGCCGGTTAGAAACATTTAGGCTGGCCTGCCTACGATCCATCCTGGGTTAAACCAGACTGGATTGTGTGAGGAGCTCACAAATCCTTGAAAGATCTGGGCAAGGTCCCATCGGTGAGCTCCTTCGGCGGGCAAGGCTGCGATGGCTGGGTCATGTAGCCCGCATGCCCAGCCACCGCATGCCGAAACAGCTTTTGTTCGGCCGGATTGAGGGGGCAAAGCGGGCGCGGCACGGGCTAGAGAAGAGATGGAGTGATGTGGTACAGGAGGACGTGGAGCTTAGTGGACTTGCCGATGACTGGTACCAGCGGTGTCAAGATCGGCCTCTGTGGAGGAGGCTGGTGAAGGATGCTACTGGGCAGTTGGAGGTAGTCACCCTCCAACAACAACGGAGGGCGGAGGAGCAACGCTCACAACAACGAGCGGAGTGCCGGGTGGCCAAAGCACAGCAGATTGGCACAGTAGGGGGCACAGGTGGTGCATCAGCCAGTCATCTCAGTCGACCCGTGGCACCTGGGTCTGCCCCGTGACCTCCTGCCAGCGGGCGTTCGACACTTCACGTGGCCTCAGGGTGCACATAGCCTGGCACAAGCGTCGTGGTGACGTCACCGCCACTTAGTGGCGAATGGCGGTTGTTGTTGTTGTTGTTGTCTGTCTCTGTGTGTGTCTGTCTCTGTGTGTGTCAGTGTAAGTGTAGCTCTGTGTGTGTGTCTGTGTGTGTGTCGTGGTTACTTATGCCCCCACTGGAAATGAACATCCGTGGAGGGATGCAGGCAAAGCCAATGAGTTAGATGCCTTCTATGACCTCCTGCCACAGGTGCAAGCTAAAGTGGCCCCTCGGGATAGAGTCATCTTGTTGGGTGACTTCAATTCCCTAGTGGGTCATGATGCTGGCACCTGATCTGGAGTGATTGGAAGTCATTGGCCAGATCAGCTCAATAACAATGGTAGGAGCCTGCTAGACTTCTGTGCAGCCCATGGGCTTGTAATTACCAACACGCTTTTCCGGCATCGGCGCATCCACACAACATCATGGATGCACTCCGAGTCCAAGCAAGAACATCTGCTGGACTACATAGTGACGGAATAGCAGATGCGGGCCCATGTCCTTGACACCAGGACCTACCGTGCAGCTTATCTGCCCACTGACCATCGACTAGTCATCTGTAAGATGCGCCTGCCATTCTTGCACTCCGGTGGTGGGTGTACACCCAGGATCCCATTCAAACCCACAGTCGCCTGGTCTCAGCTAGCCGATGAAAGTTGCAAGTGACAACTTCAACGTTGCTTGCAGCTGGGGTTGGCATCGTCCCCCACCCTCCTCCCGATGCCGAGAGGCCGTGGCTCATGCAGCTGCTAAGGCTGCAATGGGGTACACGGTCAGAGACCCTGGCTGCTTTATGGAACCGGTCAAGGCCTATGATACCATCGGTAGGCCTGGGTTCTCAGTTGTTCTTCGTGCTTTCAGAGCCCCTGACTCTGCTCACGACCATTGAGGACCTTCATGACAGGTCGACTCAGCCCGGACAAAGCTACGTGGCCGGGAGTCGGGAGCCAAATTCCCCGTTCACCTTCGAGTGCGACAGGGATGCCCTCCGGGCTCCCGCGTTCTTTAATTTTCGACCACGTCGTTCGAGAAGCCCCCACACGGCTCCACCGTGGTAACAATACAAGGTGGAGGATGATCGATGCCCGGGAGCGATTTGAGGGATTACTCCCTGTTGATGATCTGTCGATGGCTGCTCACTCGAGAGGCGTGAGGTGGAGGGCACCGCCGCTCAACCTGGGGCCTGCCACAGTGGGGTGGGGCCCTCGACCGGCAGCCCCGCCGAAGCTAAGCGGGGCCCTCCGTCTCCGCGTGTGTCCGCAGGTGCCCAGCCCTGACGAGGGACAGGAGGGGCGGAGCCTCTACGACACGTGGCTCGCGCGCGATCCTTCCTCCACCAATCGGAGCCTCCCAAAGTGAGCGGGCGTCACCGATGGGCCCCGACGTCCACAGATGTCAACCCACGTGGTCTCTTACCCCCGTGTGCTTGGGCAGGGGCACCGAGGCTTCTTGGTCCACGCGGCGCACAGCCGTTTCAACACGGGCAGCGGCTATCATCATACATTGTTGTCCATCTGTTTGTGTGTCTCCCCCTGTGGTGGGACTTTGTAGGATGAACGTTGAGATTTCTAAGGGGCACGGGGTGACCGATAAGGTCTGAGTTGGTCTGTGATAAGGTTAGGGCACTGACAAGGTATGGTATAGTAGTGTATACTGTAGTGTAGTGTATAGTAGTGTAGTCTATAGTGTAGTGTATAGTAGTGTAGTAGTGTAGTGTATAGTAGTGTAGTGTATAGTAGTGTAGTATATAGTAGTGTATAGTGTAGTGTATACTGTAGTGTAGTTTATAGTGTAGTGTATACTGTAGTGTAGTGTATAGTAGTGTATAGTGTAGTGTATAGTAGTGTAGTGTATAGTAGTGTATAGTGTAGTGTATAGTAGTGTAGTGTATTGTAGTGTATAGTGTAGTGTATAGTAGTGTAGTATATAGTCACTTTGTAGCAAGAAGGTTGAGATTTCTAAGGGGCACGGGGTGACCGATAAGGTCCGAGTTGGTCTGTAATAAGGTAAGGCACTGGTAAGGGTTTGACAGGTATGGTATAGTAGTGTAGTGTATAGTGTAGTGTATAGTAGTGTAGTCTATAGTGTAGTGTAAAGTAGTGTATAGTAGTGTAGTGTATAGTAGTGTAGTGTATAGTAGTGTATAGTGTAGTGTATAGTAGTGTAGTGTATAGTAGTGTATAGTGTAGTGTATAGTAGTGTATAGTGTAGTGTATAGTAGTGTAGTGTATAGTAGTGTAGTGTATAGTAGTGTATAGTGTAGTGTATAGTAGTGTAGTGTATAGTAGTGTATAGTGTAGTGTAGTGTATAGTAGTGTATAGTGTAGTGTATAGTAGTGTATAGTAGTGTATAGTAGTGTATAGTGTAGTGTATAGTAGTGTAGTGTATAGTAGTGTATAGTGTAGTGTATAGTAGTGTATAGTGTAGTGTATAGTAGTGTAGTGTATAGTAGTGTATAGTGTAGTGTATAGTAGTGTATAGTGTAGTGTATAGTAGTGTATAGTGTAGTGTATAGTAGTGTAGTGTATAGTAGTGTAGCGTATAGTAGTGTAGTGTATAGTAGTGTATAGTGTAGTGTATAGTAGTGTATAGTGTAGTGTATAGTAGTGTATAGTGTAGTGTATAGTAGTGTAGTCTATAGTGTAGTGTATAGTAGTGTAGTGTATAGTAGTGTATAGTGTAGTGTATAGTAGTGTAGTCTATAGTGTAGTGTATAGTAGTGTATAGTGTAGTGTATAGTAGTGTATAGTAGTGTAGTGTATAGTAGTGTAGTGTATAGTGTAGTGTATAGTAGTGTAGTGTATAGTAGTGTATAGTGTAGTGTATAGTAGTGTATAGTGTAGTGTATAGTAGTGTATAGTGTAGTGTATAGTAGTGTATAGTAGTGTAGTGTATAGTAGTGTATAGTGTAGTGTATAGTAGTGTATAGTGTAGTGTATAGTAGTGTATAGTGTAGTGTATAGTAGTGTATAGTGTAGTGTATAGTAGTGTATAGTGTAGTGTATAGTAGTGTATAGTGTAGTGTATAGTAGTGTATAGTGTAGTGTAGTCTATAGTGTAGTGTATAGTAGTGTAGTCTATAGTGTAGTGTATAGTAGTGTAGTCTATAGTGTAGTGTATAGTAGTGTAGTCTATAGTGTAGTGTATAGTAGTGTATAGTGTAGTGTATAGTAGTGTATAGTGTAGTGTATAGTAGTGTATAGTGTAGTGTATAGTAGTGTATAGTGTAGTGTATAGTGTAGTGTATAGTAGTGTATAGTGTAGTGTAGTGTATAGTGTAGTGTATAGTAGTGTATATTGTAGTGTATAGTGTAGTGTATAGTGTAGTGTATAGTAGTGTATATTGTAGTGTATAGTGTAGTGTATAGTAGTGTATAGTATAGTGTATAGTGTAGTGTATAGTAGTGTATAGTAGTGTATAGTGTAGTGTATAGTAGTGTAGTGTATAGTAGTGTAGTGTATAGTAGTGTATAGTGTAGTGTATAGTAGTGTAGTGTATAGTAGTGTATAGTGTAGTGTATAGTAGTGTATAGTGTAGTAGTGTATAGTGTAGTGTATAGTAGTGTATAGTAGTGTATAGTGTAGTGTATAGTAGTGTATAGTAGTGTATAGTGTAGTGTATAGTAGTATAGTATATAGTAGTGTATAGTGTAGTGTATAGTAGTGTATAGTGTAGTGTATAGTAGTGTATAGTGTAGTGTATAGTAGTGTAGTCTATAGTGTAGTGTGCCCAACCCTCGCTTCAATCTGTGAATGTGGCATCGTTAGAGCCGGCATCACCCGACGTGCACGATCAGTGACTCACTTGAGCACATGAACCGGTTGTCTGTGGTGTGTGTGTCACTGTGTGTGGTGTGTGTGTCACTGTGTGTGGTGTGTGTGTCACTGTGGTGTGTGTGTCACTGTTTGTGGTGTGTGTGTCACTGTGTGTGGTGTGTGTGTCACTGTGTGTGGTGTGTGTGTGTAGTGTATGGCAAAACAACCCCCTACCTCCTCGCAGTGCCGGATGGGCAACTCTGTCGTGGACAGTGCTGTGGGGGGAGGTCCAATTCCGATTGGCTCCTCCCCTCATGGCATCTATGTCCACCACAGTGGCTAAACGGGGGTTCTGGACGGGTGCGAGGGGCTGGTAACCCCTCCACCTTCAATTAATTACCACGAAACTACGAATACAAATTTTAACTAATAAGCTTGTGCCAGAGGCCCCGGGAGGACAGCCGTCTATGACGTCTCCTGGCCAAACCCCAATTGGCGGAGCCAGGAGATTGAATCTCTACCCTTGGGGCTCCTCCAGAAACAACGAAAAGCCACTACGGATGGCCATGTGGAATGTTCGAACGCTCACTGCGGAGGAGAGGCTGCCACTCCTCTGTCGGGAGCTGGACCGGTACCGCCTGGATCTCTGTGGCATTCAGGAGGTCCGGTGGACCGGTTTTGGCTCCTGCCACCATGAGGGGTGGACAGTCCTCTACTCGGAGCAGCAGACTGCCAAACAACAGGGTGTGGCTCTTCTTTTGAACAAAAGAATGAAGGGGGCGTGGGAGCGTGGAGGTGAGGTGTGGGAAGCTGTAAGCCCCAGGCTACTTTGGGCTCGCCTTCCCATCAACCGGAGGCGAGGAGTGGTGGTCGTGGCTACTTATGCCCCCACCGAAGACGAACATCCGTGGAGGGATGCAGGCAAAGCCGATGAGTCAGATGCCTTCTATGACCTCCTGTCACAGGTGCTGGCTAAAGTGGCCCCTCGGGATAGAGTCATCTTGTTGGGTGACTTCAATGCCCGAGTTGGTCATGATGCTGGCACCTGGTCTGGAGTGATTGGAGGGCATGGGCCAGATTAGCTCAATAACAACGGTAGGAGGCTGCTAGATTTTTGTGCAGCCCATGGGCTTGTAATTACCAACACGCTGTTCCGGCATCAGCGCATGCACACAACATCATGGATGCATGCCGGGTCCAAGCAAGAACATCTGCTGGACTACATTGTGACGGACCAGCGGATGCAAGCCCATGTCCTTGACACCAGGACCTACCGTGGAGCTGATCTGCCCTCTGACCATCGACTAGTCATCTGTAAGATGCGCCTGCCATTCTTTCACTCCGGTGGTGCGTGTACACCCAGGACCCCATTCCAACCTAAAGTGGCCTGGTCTCAGTTATCTGATGAAAGTTGCAAGCGAGAATTGTATCATCGCTTGCGGCTGGGGTTGGCATCGTCCCCCACTCCTGATGTCGAGGGTAAATGGGCGAGGTTTAGGATTGTGACTCATGCAGCTGCAATGGCTGCTTTGGGTACGCGGTCCAGACCTCCCCAGAGACCCTGGCTGACAGAGGAGGTGTTCAGGATGGTTGCGAAAAAGCGACAGGCCCACTGTCATCGGCTACAGAATCCCACGTCAGAGAATGAGGAGGCTTACCGCAGCCTTCGCTCGAGGTTCGGAGAGCCGTGAGGCGCTGCACGGATGGGTGGTGGTCGCGGGTTGCTGAGGAGATGGAGTCTGCCTCAGTGGCCCGCGATCACAAACCTCTATTTAACTCCATCAAAAAAGTAACCTGCAGCACCACACCTATTACCATCATTAGGGGAAAAAATGGTGATCCAATCTCCGACCCCCAGGAACAGGTTTGCAGATTTGCTGAGCATTTATGTGAGGTCCTGGGGGACGGAAAATCCCTCAGCCAGGAAAACATCGTGGCACAAAGTGAGGATGACCCTGCGGAGGCTGCGGTGCCTCAAATATTGGAAGAAGTCACCCCCTGTGAGTGGCTGGCTGAAGTTCCATCTGTTGAGGAAGTACTGAAGGCGATCCGGAGTCTGAGACCAGGAAAGGCAGCAGGCAGAGATGATATCCCAAGCGAAATGCTGAGGGAGGGTGACGTTTGTGCACAGACTGCCCTATATGACATCATAACAACAGTCTGGACCACTGGACGGGTTCCGCAGGATTGGAAGGATGCCCTGGTGGTCCCCCTCTTTAAGAAGGGGGACCGCACAGACTGTAACAACTACAGGGGCATCTCACTCCTCAGTGTGCCGGGAAAGGTCCTGGCAAGGATTATTCAACATCGCCTTGCCAGGCACGCTGAGGAGAGGCTTGTGGAGCCCCAATGCGGTTTCAAGAAAGGGCGGTCCTGCACAGACGCCATTATTTCTGTCCGTCTGCTATAGCAGAGATGTAAGGAATTCCAACAAGACCTACATCTCTGCTTTATTGACCTGGTCAAGGCCTATGATACCATCAGTAGGCCTGGGCTCTGGGTTATTCTTCGTGCTTTCGGAGTCTCTGAGCCTCTGCTCACGATCATTAAGGACCTTCATGATGGTGAATGGGCCCGGGTAAAACTACGTGGCCGGGAGTCAGAGCCATTCCCTGTACACCTTGGGGTGCGACAGGGATGTCCTCTGGCTCCCACATTATTTAACATCTATTTTGACCACGTAGTTGGTGAAGCCTTCAATAGCTGTACCGGGGGAATCTCCATTTGGTACAGATATAATGGGAGGATGATCGATGCCCGGGTGTGGTCAAGGGATGGCTCCCTATTGCTCAACCACGTTATGTATGCCGATGATTTGGAAATAGCTGCTCATTCAGAGGAGGAGTTGGAGACGCTGCTGCTGAGACTGGAGCGTGCCACTAAGAGCCCCACCAAAACTAAGCACCTGCCTGAGTATTTTGTACCATCTGAGACTCCACCCCCACAACACCCAATCAGTGATGGGGCAGTTGTGGAGAGAGTGGAGAGTTTCCCATACCTGGGCAGTGTGTTTAACAGCAGAGGTCTCACTCCGAATCAGTCGAGCGGCAATATCTTTTCATCGGTTGCGTAACGCTGTGTGGAAGCTACCTGGTCTGTCGCTCTGCACTAAGCTTCAGGTCGTCTCAGCCATGGTCATTCCCTCCCTTCTCTACGCTTGCGAAACGTGGACCCCCCTAATGGAACATCTTCGCCGGTTAGAAACATTTAGGCTGGCCTGCCTACGATCCATCCTGGGTTTAACCAGGCTGGATTGTGTGAGGAACTCACAAATCCTTGAAAGATCTGGGCACGGTCCCATCGGTGAGCTCCTCCGGCAGGCAAGGCTGCGATGACCGGGTCATGTAGCCCGCATGCCCAGCCACCGCATGCCAAAACAGCTTTTGTTTGGCCGGATCGAGGGGGCTAAACGGGCGCGACACGGGCTAGAGAAGAGATGGAGTGACGTGGTACAGGAGGATGTGGAGCTGACTGGACTTGCCGATGACTGGTACCAGCGGTGTCAAGATCGGCCTCTGTGGAGGAGGCTCGTGAAGGACGCTACTGGGCAGTTGGAGGCAGTCGCCCTCCAACATCAACGGAGGGCGGAGGAGCGACGCTCAGAACAACGAGCGGAGCGCCGGGTGGCTAAAGCACAGCAGGTTGGCACAGTAGGGGACACAGGTGGTGCATCAGCCAGTCATCTCAGTCAGTCGACCCGTGGCACCTGGGTCTGCCCCGTGACCTCCTGCCAGCGGGCGTTCGACACTCCACGTGGCCTCAAGGTGCACGTGGCCTGGCACAAGTGTCGTGGTGACATCACCGCCACTTAGTGGCGAATGGCGGTTGTTGTTGTGTGTGGGCAGCGGTAGTGTAGCAGTCACCACTACGAACTTGACGACCCAGGTTCGATTCCCGCCCACGGCCATCACCAGTGACGATTGTCTGAACCTGTCCTTGGCCTCCTCCCCTAGGTCAGCCTCAAATGAGTACCTGATGCGGTGTGTAGTTAACATCGCTACTGGTGGAGACAAAGGCGGCCGGGCGTGGTGCTGGCCACCCACTCCCCTTGTGTGCCACAGTGCCGGTAGCCTTCACCGGTGCTGCTGCTAAGTGCTACTAACAGCACTTGCCCCTGCAGTCTGTTAGAGGCTACACGGGGGATCTTTGTCTGTGTCTACCTTCACAGGTGCTGCTGCTACTCGTTACTAACTGCACTTGCCCCAGCAGTCTGTTAGAGGCTACACGGGGGATCTTTGTCTGTGTCTACCATCACAGGTGCTGCTGCTACTCGTTACTAACAGCACTTGCCCCTGCAGTCCGTTAAAGCTACACGGGGGACCTTTGTCTTTGTTTGGCGGTGGTGGCCTGCGGTAGCATCAACAAGCTGGGCTCTGGCAGTGACTTTGAGGCGTTCTTCCAGCGGCTTGGCATCTCGGCGGCACGCGCTCGCTACACCAAGAACAAGGTTCCCACTCACGGTGGCACCACCACCACCACCACCGTCGTCACCGTCACCACCGTCACCGCCACCACCGCCACCATCGTCACCACCGCCACCACCGCCACCGTCACCGCCATCACCACCACCACCACCACCGCCAACACGACCGTCACCACCGTCACCGTCACCACCACCACCACCACCGTCACCACCACCGTCACCACCACCACCGCCACCACCACCACCACCACCGTCACCACCACCGTCACCACCACCACCACGACCGTCAGCACACTCACCGCCACCACCGTCACCACCGTCACCACCGCCACCGTCACCACCACCACGACCGTCACCACCATCACCACCACCACCATCACCGTCACCACCACCACCGTCACCGCCATCACCGTCTACACCACCGTCATCGCCTTCACCACCATCACCACCACCACCACCACCGTCACCACCACCACCACCGTCGCCGCCACCCTCCCCCGCCCTCCCCCGTCTCTCGGCAGCGTGGCCCCCGCTACAGCGGCTACCCGGCCTACCACAGCGCGTCAGAGACGTTCGACCTGGTGGAGCGCTTCTACGACGGCGGCTTCCCGCGGCACCTCGCCGTGGCGCGCGTCCGGGGCCTGCTGGCGCTGGCGCTGGCGGCCGCGCCGCTGCTGCCCCTCGACTGCCGCGACTACGGCCCCCAGCTGCGGAGCCACGCCGAGGCCGTCGCCGCGGTGGCGCGGACGCGCGGAGTGGAGGCCGGGCCCGGGTTTGGTGAGCGCCGGGGGGGTTTCGGGTGCGGTGAGGGTGGAGGGCGCCACGGTGGCTGGGAGATGTTGACTGCCTCGCCTGGTATACAGGAGGTCGTGGGTTCCATCCCGACCCTGACGATGCCTGCTGCTCTATATTTGGAGTTTGCGTCTCTCTCTCTCTCATCATTATCATCATCAGGGTGGCTAGGAGATGTTGACTACCTCGCCTGGTACGCAGGTGGTCACGGGTTCCATCCCGACCCTGACGCCTGCTGCTGCCGTATATTTGTGTGGCTAGATGTTGACTACCTCGCCTGGTATGCAGGAGGTCGTGGGTTCCATCCTGACCCTGACGATGCCTGCTGCTGTATATTTGGAGTCTTCGTCTCTCTCTCTCTCATCATTATCATCATCAGGGTGGCTAGGAGATGTTGACTACCTCACTTGGTACGCAGGAGGTCGTGGGTTCGATCCCGACTCTGACGATGCCTGCTGCTGTATATTTGGAGTCTGCGTGTCTCTCATCATCATCATCATCACGGTGGCTAGGAGATGTTGACTACCTCGCCTGGTCTACAGGAGGTCGTGAGTTCGATTACCCTGAGAGATGTTAACTACCTCGCCTGGTACGCAGGAGGTCGTGGGTTTGATCCCGACCCTGACGACGCCTGCTGCGTCTGTCTCTCTCCCCGTGGTCACGTGGGGTCCTCGTCCCGCGTTTTCCCCTCCCAACATTTCGAATCGACAGAAAGTCGGCTGAGACGGCGGTCAACACCCTACCTGGTTGATTAACGTCCAAGAGAGAGACAAGACACAGGACCGGCGACACGCGCACACACACGCAAGCGGAAAGAGTTAACGCAGAGACACACAGAGAGAGAGAGAGAGAGACACGCACACACGCATGGGCACACAGAGAAACAACGTCTCAGTGTCGAGGCCTTAAATAGCTAGAGAGAGGGGGTACAGAGAGAGAGAGGGGGGGGGGGTCAGGTGAGAAGAATTAGCATGTCAATGGGAGATCCCGCATTGAGTGATCCACCGCCAACGCTGGAGGAGAGGGCAACAATTTATTTCTACGTGACCTTGCCGAAAGAACCGAGGAATAATTCCTGCAGTCACGAAAGCACAAAATCAAGTTTAAGCTGCTATAGTTGGTGATGGCCAAGTCGCTCGTCCGAGCAAGAGCTACACAGAAGCTCGATTGTGTGTGGGCGCTTACGACCTGGTTAAGAAAGGAGAAAACATTGTAATAGAGGTTATTATTTTTGTTCTTTCTGGTGTTCGATGACGTAAAAATATAAATGTTGTGGCCGTTGAACCCGCCACCACCCGACGCACAGCCAATTGGGAAGGGGTTTGTCACGTCAACAGAACGTGGCCAATTCGTGACTAGTACAGCACTAGTGTATAGTGTTGTGTGTAGTGTAGTGTACTAGTACAGCACTAGGGTATAGTATAGTGTACTAGTACAGCACTAGTGTATAGTGTAGTATACTAGTACAGCACTAGTGTATAGTGTTGTGTGTAGTGTAGTGTACTAGTACAGCACTAGTGTATAGTGTAGTGTATAGTGTAGTGTACTAGTACAGCACTAGTGTATAGTGTTGTGTGTAGTGTAGTGTACTAGTACAGCACTAGTGTGTAGTGTAGTGTACTAGTACAGCACTAGTGTATAGTGCAGTGTATAGTGTAGTATACTGGTACAACACTAGTGCATAGTGTAGTGTATAGTTTAGTGTACTAGTACAGCACTAGTGTATAGTGTAGTGTACTCGTACAGCACTAGTGTATAGTGTAGTGTATAGTGTAGTATACTAGTACAGCACTAGTGTATAGTGTAGTGTATAGTGTAGTATACTAGTACAGCACTAGTGTGTAGTGTAGTGTATAGTGTAATATACTAGTGTGTAGTGTAGTGTATAGTGTAGTATACTAGTGTGTAGTGTAGTATACTAGTGTGTAGTGTAGTGTATAGTGCAGTGTATAGTGTAGTATACTAGTGTGTAGTGTATAGTGTAGTGTATAGTGTAGTATACTAGTACAGCACTAGTGTATAGTGTAGTGTATAGTGTAGTATACTAGTACAGCACTCCACCGGTTGTATTGTGGACGATATTTGGTCGCAAAAAGCCTGCCACTACATGTTAAACCTTAACAATAAATAATAATAATAATCATAAAAATGATTGTCACGGGGACGGGGTTGTCGGCGATGATCGGTACTGGTCGGTGCTCGTTGTGTTGTAGCAGGAGGGTGCCATGACCCTTGAACCCGCTGACCCCCTCCTACCCCCCCCCCCCCGCCCAATCTCCCCCCCACCCCTCCCCCCCCCCCCCCCCCCCCCCCCCCCCGCTCTACAGCGTCTCTGTTCCAGGCCATCGACAACTTCACGGCCGCGGCAGAGAACTTCCACGCGGCCATCGGTGGACTCGACATGGAGAAGTGCGTGGCGCATGTCCGTCTGTCTGTCCGTCCGTCATTCTGTCTGACCGTCTGTCCGTCCGTCCTTGTGACCGTCCGTCCGTCCGTCCGACTGTCTGTCCCACCGTCTGTCCGTCTGTCCATCCGTCATTCTGACCGTCCGTCCATCCGTCTGACCGTCTGCACCACCGTCCGTCCGTCTGATCGTCCATCATTCTGACCGTCCATCTATCTGTCTGACCGTCTGTCCGTCCGTCCTTGTGACCGTCCGTCCGTCTGACTGTCTGTCCCACCGTCTGTCCGTCTGTCCATCCGTCATTGTGACCGTCCGTCCATCCGTCTGACCGTCTGTCCGTCCGTCTGACCGTCTGTCCCAGCATCCGTCCGTCTGACCATCCGACTAATCGTCCGTCCGTCCGCCCGTCTTAGCATGCCCATCGTGATGCCCCTCTTTGACAAAGTGGGGGGTGGGTGTGGAGAACTGCCGCTCCCTGTAACAACGACCGGGGCCTCCCCCTCCGTGTGAAGCCATGAAAGGTCCTGCCAGGCAGTATACAACATTCCACCCCTTCTCCTCCCCCGTCGGAGAAGCTTTCCCCAGGCTGCGCCGGGGAAATGTTCATCGGGGTACAGCCGACGCAAATGGGAGGCCGATCCAGCGGCCGCCGGTGACGATTATCTAAGACCGGTCCGGGGCCTCCTCCTCTAGGTCGACTCGGCCTCAAATGAGTTAGCTGGTGCGGTGTGCGGTAAAACATCGTCGCTCGGGGAGACAAAGGCGGCCGGGGCGTGGTGCTGGTAGCCACCCACCCCCTCGTGTGCCACAGTGATGCTGCTACTCGCTAACAGCACTTGCCCCAGCAGTGTGTTTAGGTTATACGGGGGGATCTTTGGGTGCGATGGTGGCTAGGAGATGTTGACTACCTCGCCTGGTACGCAGGAGGTCGTGGGTTCGATCCCGACCCTGACGACGCCTGCTGCTGCTGTATATTTGGAGTTTGCGTGTCTCTCTCTCTCTCTGTCCCCGTGGTCGCGTGGATTTTTCCACAGGGATCCTCCGGTTTTTTCCCTCCACAATTTAGAATCGACGTCACCCACGGCGTTTTAGAGGATATTCTGCTACTATGAATGCCCGCACGATGAGCCGCTTTATTGAGCTGTCACTCGTGATGGCCAGAGTCGCTTCTGAAAAATAGCTACATAGCAGCTCGGCGAGCCGTGAAACAAAATAAAAAATAGTTTCGTTAGTTTGTTTTTAGTTTAGTTCTGCCTTTGTGGGGGACTTGCTGGCTCCACCCCCCCCCCCCCCGAACCAATGTTGACCCTTGACCCCCGCCCTCCACCCCCACCACTTCCACCCCCACGACCGTCCCCACCACCCCTACCCTCCCACCTCCTACCCCCCACCACCACCACCCCACCACCACCACCCCCGTTGTGTCCCAGTGTCATGGCTCTCCGCATGGCCAACGACCGCCTCATGCTGCTGGAGAGGGCCTTCACCGACCCCCTGGGCCTTCCTGGACGGCCGTTTTACCGGTGAGCGCCGGCGGGCCCTGGCACACCGCCGTGGTGACGACTGTGGTGGTGGCGGTGGTGACGGTCACGATGGCGGTGGTGGCGGTCACGATGGCGGTGGTGGCGGCGACGATGGTGGCGGCGACGATGGTGGTGGTGACGATGATGATGGTGGTGATTATGATGGTGGTGATGACGATGGTGGTGATGATAGTGGTGGCGACGATGATGATGGCGATGATGATGGTGGTGGCGACGATGGTGGTGATGACGATGGTGGTGATGATAGTGGTGGCGACGATGATGATGGCGACGATGATGGTGGTGGCGACGATGATGGTGATGACGATGATGGTGGTGACGATGATGATGGTGATTATGATGGTGGTGGTGATGACGATGGTGGCGACGATGATGGTGATGACGATGATGGTGGCGACGACGATGGTGGTGATGACGGTGGTGGCGACGATGATGACGGCGACGATGATGATATTGACGATGACGATCACGACGGTGGCTGACGGCGGCGGCGGCGACGATGACCGCGGTAACGACGCGCCCACTCCCCCCCCCCACTCCCCCCCCCCGCCCACTCCCCCCCCCCGCCCACTCCCCCCCCCCCCCCCACCGCAGCCACGTGGTGTTCGCTCCGAGCAGCCACAACAAGTACGCGGGCGAGGCGTTCCCGGGCGTCTACGACTCCCTGTTCATCGCGGACGCGGCGGAGGCGCGCACTGAGACGGAGCGCAACCTCGCAGTGGCCGCCTTCACCGTGCAGGCTGCCGCCGGCACCCTGGCCTAGGCACGGCACCACCACCACCATCACCACCACCACCACCACCCACCATGGCCTCCCCCCGCCCACCACGGGATCCCCCTCCACCGTGCCACACCCCGCCCCCCACTGCAGCCCCCACCTACCACCACAGCCTCCCCCCCCCCCCCCACCGACCCCGCCCACCGCCGACCCCCCCCCACCACCGCTGACCCCAGTACTCTCCTCCGCGACCGTGACCGTGACCCTGCTTCTGACCCCGGCTCTAAACCGCGGCCCTCACTGCGACATCGCCACGGCTCTCGATCCAACCCAAAGCCTGACCCTGGTTTGTAAAAACCCGGCGCTCGCCCCGCACCCAAACCTCGGCACTGAACCCCAACCCTCACCCTGGCCCTGGCTCGAACCCCGACCCCGACTAGCCCAGTAACCCAGGCACCAGCCCCCCCCCCCCAAAACCCCTTGCGAACGCGACTCGCGATAACCCTACCTCTGACCACAATCCTCCGATCGGGCCCTGTGTGCCCCCTGACCCTCTCCACCCCTAAGCCCTTACTTACACTGCCACAGCCCGGGCAATGGGCTGAGCGAGTCTGTGGCGCGCTGGTCAAGAGGCGTCGGCACGCCCTAGCAAAAAAAAAAAAGAATGAAGGAACGCTGTGCAATAAACAAACGGCACGACAACGGCGTTGCTTCGACTCGTGCTTTCGTGCGAGTCTGCTATCGTATGCGGTGTGGGGCAGCCGCAACCGTCTCTTGAGAGGGATTCCCACGTGGGGCTCGTCCAATGAATGCATGCGGAGACGACAGGTCAGGGTTCCAGTCCGTTTATTCCACCGCCGTCAGACGCAGCTCCCCCCGTTCATCCACAGCTCTCTCCACACACAGCTCCCTCCTTCATCCACAGCTCTCTCCACACACAGCTCCCTCCTTCATCCACAGCTCTCTCCACACACAGCTCCCCCCGTTCATCCACAGCTCTCTCCACACACAGCTCCCTCCTTCATCTACAGCTCTCTCCACACACAGCTCCCTCCTTCATCCACAGCTCTCTCCACACATAGCTCCCCCCGTTCATCCACAGCTCTCTCCACACACAGCTACCTCCTTCATCTACAGCTCTCTCCACACACAGCTCCCTCCTTCATCCACAGCTCTCTCCACACATAGCTCCCCCCGTTCATCCACAGCTCTCTCCACACACAGCTCCCTCCTTCATCTACAGCTCTCTCCGCACACAGCTCCCCCCGTTCATCCACAGCTCTCTCCACACACAGCTCCCTCCTTCATCCACAGCTCTCTCCACACACAGCTCCCCCCGTTCATCCACAGCTCTCTCCACACACAGCTCCCCCCGTTCATCCACAGCTCTCTCCACACACAGCTCACTCCTTTGTCCACAGCTCTCTCCACACACAGCTCCCCCCGTTCATCCACAGCTCTCTCCATACACAGCTCCCCCCGTTCATCCACAGCTCTCTCCACACACAGCTCCCTCCTTCATCCACAGCTCTCTCCACACACAGCTACCTCCTTCATCCACAGCTCTCTCCACACGCAGCTCCCTCCTTCATCCACAGCTCTCTCCACACACAGCTCCCTCCTTCATCCACAGCTGTCTCCACACGCAGCTCCCTCCTTCATCCACAGCTCACTCCACACATAGCTCCCTCCTTCATCCACAGCTCTCTCCACACGCAGCTCCCTCCTTCATCCACAGCTCTCTCCACACGCAGCTCCCTCCTTCATCCACAGCTCTCTCCACACACAGCTCCCTCCTTCATCCACAGCTCCCCCCTTCATTCACAGCTCCCTCCATCACACAGCTTCCTCAATCCACAGCTCTCTTCACAAACAGCTCCCTTGTTCATTCACAAATCTTTCCACACACAGCTCCTTCCTTCATTGACGGAGTGGGGGGGGGGGGCTGTCGGTGGGGGGGGGGGGGGGGGGGCGCGGTCGGTGGGGGGGGGGGGCGGTGGGTGGGTGGGGGGTAAGCGATGCAATGAATGGCTAATTAACAGTTGATTAGTGGATGGTGGTCACGTCCCGGGCACGTGCAATTGTTTCACTCCTCCAGTCACCGTTCGTGATATCCTGCAAAAGCACACGGAAGAAGGGTGGGGAGGTGGACATCAGCATAAAGGTCCCCTAATCAGCCACGATCTGTCCACTGTCCGACGGAGGCCTTCCTGAGCAATCGCCATATCTCACGGACTCGCAACGCGCCCTGTCTGGCATGCAAGCCGATCCCTGTGCAACATCTCCATTCCATGTTCTGTCCTCTGCCTGGCATTCCATCTTCTACCCTGTAGCTGGTATTCCATCTTCTACCCTGTAGCTGGCATTCCATCTTCTGCCCTGTGGCTGGTATTCCATCTTCTACCCTGTAGCTGGCATTCCATGTTCTGTCCTGTGGCTGGCATTCCATCTTCTACCCTGTAGCTGGCATTTCATCTTCTGTCCTGTAGCTGGCATTTCATCTTCTACCCTGTAGCTGGCATTCCATGTTCTGTCCTGTGGCTGGTATTCCATCTTCTACCCTGTAGCTGGCATTTCATCTTCTGTCCTGTAGCTGGCATTTCATCTTCTACCCTGTAGCTGGCATTCCATGTTCTGTCCTGTGGCTGGCATTCCAACTTCTGTCCTGTGAGTGTGTGGTTGGGCGAGTGGTTCGTTGTGTGAGTGGGTGAGTGGATGAGTGGGTAGGTAGGTCAGTGTGTGGGTGAGTAGGCGAGCAAATGAGGAAGTAATTGAGTGGGTGAGTAAATGAGTGACTGAGTGGGTCGGTGAGTGGATGAGAGAGAGAGTAGGTGACTGGGTGGCTAAGTGGGTGAGTGGATCAGGTGAGTGGTTGAGGTGAGCGAGCGAACGATTCGAACCGCGTCACTGCACCATGCGGCGAACGATCTCTCCGCCCTGCAGGCCCCGCAGAGGCAGCGGTGGAAATTCCACGTTCACATGGCGGGGGATGAGTCCACGGGACCGGAGTTCCCGCGACCGTTCGCAGAGCCGTACGAGCGTGGCCGCGAGTGTTTCAGTTGCGCGCAAGCTAAACTGTTTTTATTTTAAACGTTTGATTAAATGCTGAACTATTTTATTTGACCAGGTAAGGCCCCACGGAGCTACGTGGCCTGGCTATCGCAGATGATAGCTCAACGGAGTGGCTTAACTTCGTCGTCGTCGTCATCGTCGTCGTCATCGTTATGTGGGAATGTATAGCAGTGGCCTAAACACTCCAACACGCACGACGTTGATGCTGAATGTGGAGGGGAAAAGCGGGGGGCCCGGAGAGACACGCAAACTCCAAATATACAGCAGCAGGCATCGTCAGGGTTGGGATCGAACTCACGACCTCCTGTGTACCAGGCGAGGTAGTCAACATCTCCTAGCCACACACAAATATACAGCAGCAGGCATCGTCAGGGTCGGGATCGAACTCACGACCTCCTGCGTACCAGGCGAGGTAGTCAACATCTCCTAGCCACACACATACACAGCAACAGGCATCGTCAGGGGTGTGATCGAACCCACGACCTCCTGAGTACCAGGAGAGGTAGTCAACATCTAGCCACACAAATATACAGCAGCAGCAGGCGTTGTAAAGGTCGGGATCGAACTCACGACCTCCTGTGTACCCGGCGAGGTAGTCAACATCTCCTAGCCACACACAAATATACAGCAGCAGCAGGCGTCGTCAAGGTCGGGATCGAACCCACGACCTCCTGCGTACCAGGCGAGGTAGTCAACATCTCCTAGCCACACACAAATATACAGCAGCAGGCATCGTCAGGGTCGGGATCGAACTCACGACCTCCTGCGTACCAGGCGAGGTAGTCAACATCTCCTAGCCACACACATACACAGCAACAGGCATCGTCAGGGGTGTGATCGAACCCACGACCTCCTGTGTACCAGGCGAGGTAGTCAACATCTCCTAGCCACACACAAATATACAGCAGCAGGCATCGTCAGGGTCGGGATCGAACCCACGACCTCCTGCGTACCAGGCGAGGTAGTCAACATCTCCTAGCCACACACAAATATACAGCAGCAGGCATCGTCAGGGGTGTGATTGAACCCACGACCTCCTGCGTACCCGGCGAGGTAGTCAACATCTCCGAGCCACCGCGGCACCCACCGTAGGAGCTGCCCCGACACCGCACCTGCTAGCCCTTGGTCTCCTCTTCCTCCTCCTCACTGCTGCTGGGTCCACAGGTGAGGTCGCTCACCTGAGACTTCCTCCCGCGCACCGCTCGGAGCTGAGCCGAGCAGAGCCAGGAGCTCTGCGCGACACGACACAGTCACACGCAACACAGTCACACGCAACACAGTCACACACAACAGTCACACACAACACAGTCACACGCAACACAGTCGCCCGCAACACAGTCACCCGCAACACAGTCACCCGCAACACAGTCACCCGCAACACAGTCACCCGCAACACAGTCGCTCCACAACACAGTCGCTCCACAACAGTCGCCCACAACAGTCGCCCGCAACACAGTCGCCCGCAACACAGTTGCGCACAACACAGTCGCTCCACAACACAGTCGCCCGCAACACAGTCGCCCGCAACACAGTCGCCCGCAACACAGTTGCCCACAACAGTCGCTCGCAACACAGTCGCTTGCAACACAGTCGCTCGCAACACAGTCACCCACAACACAGTCGCCCACAACACAGTCGCCCACAACACAGTCGCCCACAACACAGTCGCCCACAACACAGTCACCCACAACACAGTCGCCCACAACACAGTCGCCCACAACACAGTCACCCACAACACAGTCGCCCGCAACACAGTCGCCCGCAACACAGTCGCCCACAACACAGTCACCCACAACACAGTCACCCGCAACACAGTCGCTCCGCTAACAGTCACCCACAACACAGTCACCCACAACACAGTCACCCACAACACAGTCACCCACAACACAGTCACCCACAACACAGTCGCTCAGCTCCTGCCCTGTCACCGGCGACCGCGCGGGCGGCTGAGGGGAGACGGAGCGGCGAGACCGAGCTCGCTGTCCAGCAGCAGAAAGTCTGGCGTTGTTGCCGGCAACAACAACAAC